CACATTGAATATTAAATTAATAATAGCTAAATGCATTCAATTACGTAAACTATATTTCTCTTAAATACAAAAAATTAAGATATTATACAAGATTCTGATATTATATTGGTATCCATCTAGTATCATAAGTCTTCACACAAATTCAACAGGTGTTCCATGAAACTTTAAAATTAATATATATCTCTTATTGATATCCTAAACTATTACCAAAAACACTCACAAGAAAAAAGCTATAAAATAGTGTCTATTAATATGATTCGGAGATAATTTTATGTTGACGACCATCTCTTGGCCATCTTCTTCAAAGTAAAAAAAAAAAAAAGTAAATCAATGTTTCTCAATCTCTGCCCTACTTGCGATCGAACAAAAATCATGGTTGTTTTTCAGTTCAAAATTTTATATTATAATTTTATATCTAATAAAAATATGTGATACTTTACTCAAAAAGAAGAAGAAAAGATATGTGATACCAACTGTTTGTGTTGTAAATATAAAGAAGCTCATTTGCACACTTCATTACGAGATGATATAGAACTTACAAGAACATATATATTGCAAGCCATGGACGTTTACTTACTTTATTGTTATGAATTCGGGTGATTGACTCAATCAACCTAAAAGAAAAATTGCAAATACTCTTTGTTAGGGGTTTCTCGTTAAATTTGTGAAGAACGAATACAATCTTCAGATCCTTTTATATANNNNAAAAAAAAAAGACTCGATACTACTAGATTAATTATGTACCAGGAATAAGTGTTTCTTCTTAGATTGATAATCAAATGTTGTATCACTAATGTTGTTTTTTTTTTTTTAACATAATTTTCATCGTCTAGTGAATCCTCCACGCTTTTATTGTCCGTACTGCCACTGTCCGTACTTTCACATACATGATGTTCCTTCGCGCCAAAGTTGGGTAAGTAGTTTTTTTTTTTTATATATTTGTGTTTAAGCTCTAATAGAAACATATGTTTTGTTTGGCGTCATTTTAAAACACACATATTTTTCGGGTATAATTTAATATATTAATTTACCTCTAAACGTTTCCTTTATAGAGTATTGGAGAATCTCCTGGGCGTAGCTATGGCAATAGCTTCCCAGATCAGTATTCGCTTAGACGTAGTTTTTCAGATATCGGGTCAAACAGTATCCATGATGTTTCCGAATATACGTCCACAGATGTATGTGCAATGTCAACCCGATATTTTCATGCATATTTATTCATCTCTATAGATCGATATTAATTACCTTTGTTATGTGGATGCGCAGGGAGTGTATGAGTCAGAAGAATCGGGGGGAGGATTATCTAAATCTCAAATTTCTCGGTTACCAACTCATAAATACGGAAAAAAATCCAAATCGAGGTGGTGGTGGCAAAAGAAAAAGAAGTTTGTCGCTGATGATTCTCAGTATGTTTATATATATCACTAAATACTGTTTAACTTTTTGGTCTTCATTTATGCTTCGTGTGTCAATTACTATACCAAGACCAAGATTAATCCATGCAACTATATAGTTAGTCTTGGTCAATATTTACATTTACATATATGTTTTTGTTTGATTTTGTTTGGGGGACATTATAGGTGTTCGATATGCCTTGTCGAGTATGCAAAGGGAGATAGGATAACAACTTTGACATGTAAACATATCTACCACAAAGATTGCATTTCACAGTGGCTGAAGAACAACATGGTATATATGATCAACAAGTATTCGGTTTTAATATTTATTCAACATAAAAAAAAATACTTGGGTACTGTACTGTGTTTGCAGAATTAGAAAATGTACATACAAATGACATTGACAACTAAATATTCTATCGTATGTATTGTTTATCCAGGTATGCTGTATTTGCAAACGCAAGGTCCGTGTTTAGGGTGGTAAATGTTAACTTATCACTAGATAAAGTCATGAACTAGACGAATTTTCATCCATGGTGGATTTTCTTCTTCTTTCGTATTGTAATGTTTGATATCAAACTTTTGTTGTCTATATGACATGAATATGTGAGACATAGTCATACACTACAAGAAAACATGCCTATTTCCGACCAAATTTTCGACGGACAACAATCGGTCGGAAATTATCGATCGAATTCCGACGGATTTCCGACCGGAAAATTTCGGTCCAAAATCGGTTGGAAATTTCCGACGGAAAAATTTCCGTCGCAATACGGTTGCAAAATCGGTCGGAAATCCGTGGGAAAATCAATCGGTAGGAAATCCGTTGGAAAATTCGGTCGGAAAACGGTCAGAAATTCACGCGGTCGGAAATTCACGCGGTCGGAAATCGGTAGGAAAAAATTGGAGCCATTTTTAACCGTTTTAAATTTTGAATTTCCGACCGAATTTCGTTGGGAAATCCGTCGGAAATTTCCCAGAATGCTTTTTAAAACAGAGCACACCTTCATTCACGAAAATTGGAAGAACAAAACTTAAAAATGGCTCCTTCAAACAGAGATCAATATTTTNGAGCGTGGATGGATAGACNTTCTCATGATCCANAGACGGGTTTACTTACNGATGAGTTTGTCGATGGAGTTCAACAATTTATGAATCTTGCATTAAACCAACCGCAAACCATAGAAGATCAAGGTAAAATGTCGTGCCCTTGTTCTCAATGTCGAAATTGTTTTTGGGCGTTTTGTATTACAACACCTTTATAGAGACGGATCTATGCCGGGGTATAAGATATGGTATTTGCATGGTGAAGATGGTTCAATGGGGAATTATGCTAGTACTAGTGCGGATAGGATAGAGGAACCAATACCGGAAGTAGATGAAAATGTAGGTATGGAAGAAATGGTTAACGAAGCCTATCGGGAGAATATACCATCGTTCTTTCAGGATGGATCCGAAGGACCAACTTTAGATGTCCAAAGGTACTTTGATATGGTAGATGCATCAACTGATCCGTTATATGCTGGTTGCAAAGAGGGTCTTTCATCTTTATACTCTGCATACA